AAAAAAGAAAGAAAACATAAAAAGCTTAGTATACATGCGCGACTGTGTGTGTGCATGTGTGTGTGTGTGTGTGTGTGTGTGGGTGTGTGTGTGTGCCCGCATGCAGCACGCATACACAAACTCACGGATTTGCGCTTGCATGGGCGCACACGCACACACACACACACACACACACACACACACACACACACACACACAGGGCACACACACACACACACACACACACACACACTCTAGATGAGCCGATGAACGTCCCACGAAACATTCTGGCACAGCCATGGTTTTTTTGAGTGTATAATGAAAATGAAACACACACACACACACACACACTATAGATTCAATCAATCGATTGAGTCGATTGATTCAACTGATTCGGTTCAATTCGATGGATTCATTGAATCGATCTGTTGTGTGTGTGTGCCAATCTATTCAATCGATCCATCAAACCCATTGATTGAACTGATTTGAATAGGTTCAATCAATCTATTCGATTTGATTGATTGCTCGAATCTATGGACTGTATGTGTGTGTGTGTGTGTGTGTGTGTGTGCATGTGTGCCTGTATGTGTGTGTGTGCGTGCGTGCGTGCATGAGTGTGTGTGTGTGTGTGTGTGTGTGTGCATGCACTTGTAAAGGGGGAGCCGTGTGTGTGTGTGCATGCACTTGTAAAGGGGGAGCCGTGTGTGTGTGTGTGTGCGCGCGCTCAATCAGGGCTATCAACGGCACGAACGTATCCTCGGCAGGCTGTCATGGCTCAACCTCCTGATGAGTCGGTAATAGGCCAACAAAACAGTCTGGCATAGTCAAGGTTCTTTTTTTCAGTGCACAGCGAAAAAAGGGTTGGGGAGGGTGGGTTATTTGATTTTTATTTTTTCAAGTTTTTTGTGAATGCCTCATGCCTCTGGGTGCCTACCCAGCAGGGGGAGCGTGTTTGATTTTTTCCCGCCCTCTGCCACGTGGTGCGTTTGAACGCGCGCAGGGGGCATTGAACGCGCGCGTTTGAACAAGCACGGGCGTTCAGCGCATTCAGATAGTAACATAAGACTACGCAACACAGCAAGATGGAAAACCCGGAGAAGGAAACGCCGCGAATTTTGATGTTTTGCTACCCGTGGGGGTGGTAGATCACCCAGATCTAGTGGAAATGATATAGGGAGAATTCTTGGCCAGATTCATCCAGAAATAGCACTTCCGAGAAGAAGAGAAAGAAAATTGGGAGAGGGGGGGTTGCCGAGGATGAACACACGCATGGAAAGGCATTGATACATACGCACATCATGACACATGCATACTCGTGCTTGTCGCGCTCTCGAACTGTGTGAATTGCAAGTAACGAGTTCAAATCCATCCAACACGTCAAATAATCCATCTTGCTCTCGGGACTTCAAACTTTCGTACTGCCCCCAACTCCGATAGAGACCTAAACCGCATCGTACCCAAAAAGGACAAGCATTGCTCCACAGACGCCAAACGTTTCAGAACTTGATGATAGACATCCCGTTGTTCCTCAAACCTGCAGAAAGTCGCTTGCACAATAAAACATCCCAGCATTGTGAACAGAGGGGCAGCTCTTCTTCTTTGTACAACTCGACTCCCACGTTAACGATTGCCACCTGCTGTTCCCGAGTCTCTCGAGTCTCTCGACAGTCAGAAGAGCTGGTAGGTGAACCAAGTCCAAAACTTTACTCCCTACTGTTCTCGAGTCAGTCGACATTCCGAAGACCTGTTGGGTGATCCTAATCAAGTCCATTCTGAGTCATCAAACAGACAATGAGCAGAGACAGCCCTGACCGTTGCGAAAAGAGGCCAGGAGGCACACGCACATACATACATCAAAGAGACTAAAAAAGCACCTAATTTTCAGAGAGCTCTGCTCGACTACGTAGCCTTTGCTGCTTTGTCAGGGTTATCGCAATCGCTTCCGAACGTCAATGACCAGGAAGACTGGGCAGCAGAGAGAGGGTACGGTATTCGGACAGCATATACGGCGACAACACAATACACACAGCGTCGGTTGCAGAATAAATAAATAAACGGAAAAGATGACCATCGCATCAAAATTCACCACCGCAACTTACAAGATGGGCGCCCATCTTCTCTCCCCTTCATTAATGAACTACAGAGATGAACCCGAAAAAAGCGAACTGACCTGACCTTCACGTCCGGCAACAGTCTTACACATAATGACAGCTAGCTAGCCACTCAGTCCAACGTCTAATCCGCTACCGCGAAGTGCAAGACAGACTCCGATCTTCTCTCCCCTTGATAAATAACCTAGAGAGACTGTATGACAACGTAAGCCCGAAAAAAGCCACTTGACCTTCCCCTTGCGCGGCACCAGTCTTATACACAATAACATCAACTTAACCAATCTGTCGAACTGTAACTAACCCTAAAACCGCGGAAAAAACGACCTACGCGACGACCGCTCTTCTGCGACACGGCTCTTCCGCACCTCAGCCCAGATCTCTACTGGATACAAACAGCCAAAAAGTTACGTTGCACTAGATGGACACGCTATTGGGGATTCCCCGCGTCCCGTTCGGGGTGTCGTGCAAGAAAGACAACTCCTGGGCATTGTTGCGAGGGAACAAGTACTCGTACGGCAGTCTCCCCCTGGGCTTGTTCTCCTGATTCATGCGCTCTATGGCCACCAYTGCATCGTCAAGRTCGTCGCASAACTTTTTGTAMGCCTGCTGCGCTTCCGGATCCACTAACCAGCCGAAGGCGGTCTGATCCGTTCTCCCAATGTACTCCTCGTCGTCCGAGAACCTCGACAATATGTCCACGACCATCATCACTGTAATCTGATCCTTGGGAAGAGGCAGGACGTCCATGAACGCCCTCTCATCTACTTCCTCTGGCATTGGCTTCCTCATGCAYGAGGGATTGTTCGGCGAGAACGCCGAGTAATCGTACTGGCCAAAGTTGACGGCGGAGTGCTGGGCGCTGGCTGTCCACATCATGGTCGCGCAAATGAAAGCCAAATCCTCGACCGTGTGCAGCGCCGGCCACTCCTCCGCGTCGGGGAGAGARAACTCGGACTTGGAGGCGCCCAGCTTCACGTCGGCCCACCAAGCTGACACCTCCTCGTCCCGCGCGATCGCCTCCATGGCGCTCTCCCCCTCGCCATAATAGATCTTCAGGTACGTCAGGCAATACTTGAGGATCGCGTTCCAGACGAGCATCCCGGCGTCGCGATACGGATAGTAGGGAAGGACATCCACGTCGCCCACTCCTCTCTTCTCCAAGTTCACAGGCAAAGCTTGCTCCTGGAACTTCCAGGACTTGAACAGCTCGGCCGAGGCTGCCATGCACTTGGGCCCAGGAGTGAACACGGACTCGATGATGCCGCCAGCATTGATCAGACTCGTACGCGCCCTATAATTGATGCTCATCGTGAACCGAAAGTGAGGAATGAGGAGCTTGAAGACGGGGTGCCATTCGGACACTCGCCTGCGGAGAGCCATGAGATAAACCTCGCAGACTGCGTGGCATTCCAAAAAGTGCCTACCCACCTGGTGCACGGCGCTGTCAGCGCTTGCCACGTAAGCCTTGRCCAGAGTCCACTGCCACCTTCCGACGCTCGTGTCCTTGGCGCGCGTGTACACCTTCCCTCCTCTCTCCAGCTGGACGGCTATGGGGATGACGTCATCGTCATCATCACGGAGCAGCAGGCAACGAGGAGCGTACAAGTACCGCAACTCCTTCCCCGGAGAAGCAGGCCGATTGACGATGGGCCTGAGAACCTCAAGCAGAGAGAAGTCGAGGATGAAGACGCGTCGGGCCTCGACCGCTGAGGCAAGTGTTAGCCCATCGGGGAGGGCGTCGCCCAGCTCGCCGTCGGACACCAAAAAGCCTTCAGGCAGAGTATCGATCAAGGTTATCTCCATGGGATTCATGCCGGCGAGCCTCTGTCTGCCGAACTCCTTATCGGACTTCCAGTCGATCCCGTTCTTCAGTACGACCGGCTTGCGGAAAGCCCCGACTCCTTCGAACAGTCCGTCGATGAGCTTTTTCACGCTCTTCCATGGCTTGCTGGACTTCGTCGATAGCGGATCAGCAAACACTGCCTTCGCTTTTGACTTGACCGACTCCGACAAGAAATCGTAAGTCTTGGAACAGTCGAAGTCGTCATCGATCGGGATCCCGATACTCTGTCCGGAGACCGTGGATGCCTGCCGCTTGGGGTACGGGTGGAGCGGAGGCCGGAAGTTGGGACTGCCKCGATCCACCAGCTCCGGCGGACTGCTCAGATCGTCGTATTGGTCGAACTGGTACACCTCCAACTGCTTGTGCAAGGCTCCTCCCCGATAGAGYTCGTTCAGCCTYGCGGGAGTCTGCCAGGGGAGCCGAGAGCTGCCCTCGAAGATGACGCGGCCTCTGCTCGAGTTGGGCACGTACGAGTAGCAGGGGAACACGTACTTCTTCAGCTTGCCGTTGTTCCCCCCCCCGTCGGCCATGTAAGCTTCCGTCTCGATCTCCACCCTCCTCACGTACCAGTGCCTCCCCTGCGTCGAGTCGTTGTACAGAAGGATGACCGTCGGATTCACGTTCTTCGGAAGATCGTTGATCCTCACCGACTCCGTGCTGCCAAACTTCCACAACCCCGTACCCAGATCGTAACCGTCTCTTTCGCCTGCGATATGTGCAGGAGCGCGAGGTCCCTCAGGGTCTTCCTCGCCATCACCGACGATGACCATCCTCACTCTGCCGTACATTCCATCGTTCGCATTGTCTCCCATGCTGATGCGAATCGTCGCGAGCTTCATTCCCTCCTTCGGGGGTGCCGAGGAGATAACTCGGACCGTTTGCTCGACCACTTTAGATCCCACAGACACAGCTGACCCGGCCACTGCCGCTCCCGCCCCCACGACCGCAGATCCCGCCGCCAGAGCTGAGCTGCCTGCAGCTGCGCCAACCCCCACGACCGCGGATCCCGCTGCGCCGGCTACAGCTGCCCCTGCTCCTAAGGCCCTCGATCCCACCGCTGCAGCCGAGCCGGCTGCAGCCGAAAATGTCGAAGAAAAGGCTCCCGCCAACCCCTTCATCTTCGCCTTTCTTCAGTGCACCCCGACAGAAGAAGAGACCACCCAAGAAGAACGCAATCTTCCCTTATCGCGTTTCCTCTCCCACTATCGTTTACCGAGCCCAGCTCTGCCGGCAGTTAGTCAAGATCAAAGTTCACTCTTTCCCGTATAAGCCGAAGGAAAAACAACGCAAACGCTCCACCTTCCCCACCCCAGCAGGAAACTTCCATCCACACCTCGTTCCTCGTCTGCTGGGACAAGATATGCACTACAGCAGCGGCTGAAAAGTCCACCGGGTCAGCATCCCGCCACGCCCGTGACACCAAACATCACATAAACAACGTCAACACAAGCAAACACAAAAAAATGAGTGTAACTGTCCTGTCATTTGCGCTTATATCATAATAAGAAAAAGAACCGGACAACAGACAGACATTCGCTGGCAAGAAAACAGGAGGGAATACAACCGAACTTTTTTCCCCTCATCCCAGGTGTTTTGTCCGCGAAGCGATTACCTTCGCTCTCTCTCTCTCTCTCTCTCTCTCTCTCTCTCTCTCTCTCTCTCTCTCTCTCTCTCTCTCTCTCCCCGCCGCCCCCCGCTGACCCAAATGGACCATTGATGGCGTGTCTTTGTTAAGCAGTGGCCGATCCTTGCTGACGTGACGACACAATGCTATGTTCGCAAGGATCGGGCGGGTCCTTTCTCGAAGGAAAAACAAAAGGGAAAGAAAAACAACACCTCGCAACACGGCCAGCCCACCCACATTACGCATCCCTAACCTCGCCAATAACCCCACCCCACCCGATTTTGCCTTCCTCCCCCCTCCAGAAACCTAAAAACTAAATCCTGACTTCACAAAAGACAGAGACAAAAAAATTAAGAGAGACATAGACAACCTCTCTTGCACCAGTTTAGACGTTGATTCGCCACTCTTCGCCCCACTCATTCCAGATTATATCTCAAAGAAGAACACCGAGCTCGACCCCGGGAAAAAAAAAAACAGCCCGTTTGCTAAACCTCACCTCTCTCTCTCTCTCTCTCTCTCTCTCTCTCTCTCTCTCTCTCTCTCTCTCTCTCTCTCTCTCTCTCTCGGCCCCCCCCAGTTCCGTACTCACCCACCAAGCCACACGGTTGGACAGCGAGACAAACGAGGAACTTGCAGGAAGGATGGATGATGACGGAAGAACACGGAAAGAGGGAGGGAAACGACGACCGAAGAAGGAGAGAGGAGGGCGGAGGACACAGGAATATACGGGATGGAGCCATGACAAGTCGATGTACCTGAGCAGAAGAGCGACGGGCTCTCTCTTTCTCTCCGTTCTCTCTTCGCTCTCTGTTTATGTCGCCCGCTCGTCTCACTCCAACGGCGACCTTCTCCGTTGCATGCTGCCTCTCGAGTTTATTATAAGGCCACTGATCCATATGCCTCACTCCATTCTACTCCGAACTTGGAGAAATGGGGTCTTGCTGCACTACTCTCCAAATGTGCAAAATGAAAATGAATCTTGGCTTGAACATGGAAAGATGCACTGCCATATATTTTGTCTTTTGTGAATGTGGAGAGTAAGACAGGACACCAGCACTTCCACCTCAGCAAAGCTTTGGGGGTAAGCGCCTCGCCACACCACTCTCGAAATGTGAAAAAGACAAAATCATGAAAAATGTGGTGGGTGCATCTGGCCATGTCCTGGCGGGAAGTTCAGTGTCATCTTCCACATTTCGAGAGTGGTGTGGCGATGCCCTTAGAACAGGGCACCGGCACTTCCACCTCCCGCCCTCCCACTTCTTCTTTTGCGTAGACCACGTTTTTACGAGAATGCGGTTCGCTCCAACGGCGGGTGCAGTAGTAATGGCCCTGTACGGGCTCGCGCTTGTTCTTTTCCTATTTTTTTCCAGTATTCGGGGACGCGCGCATGTCTCGACAGACGTGGCAAGGTTTTTACCTGCACCGTCTGCACGAGCCTACGGCCCGCGCTCCAGTACTCTCCACATGCACAAAAGACAAAACATACGGTGGGGTATCTTTTCATGCCCTGTATCCACAACGATCCGAACGAAGGGAAGAAATGAAAGCCGGGCCGAGTCCCACTACAGTCTTCCCCCGAATACAACATACGGTCATTATAGCTGAATTTGGTCTATCTTTCCTTCTTAATTCAGTTATAATGACCGTTCGTTGTATTCGGGGGAAGACTGTAGCAGCATTGAGTTTCCTGAACGCCTGAATCTGGACGTGTTTGAGATTATGTCCTGTTGAGGAAACTCAACGCTGTTCTGGCACCTTTCCTTTTTTTTTTTAAATGGACCATACTAATCTTCTCTGTATCGTTCCAATTGTGGCACCTTTCTGTTTTTTCGTTTTTCTTTTTTGCACCAAACATTGCTCCATTCTATTAGTGGGGAGCTGAACTGTTGGGAAAAGGGCCCAACGTCCCAGAGAAAAGCATAATGAGGCCCGGCCGCCCGGGTGCTCACAGTCTACCCGGGGGCTAGGTCCCACTTACACGAATTAAGAGATATTGACCGTAGATAGCAGAGATCAACGGCTAGAATCTCTTAATCCGTGCAAGTGGGACCTTGCCCGGGAGATGGTAACGAGAGCAACAGTACAGTACCCGGAGCTTTACCCAGATTCGCTTCCCGCCACACCAATGTCGAAAACTGCATTTTCGACATTGGGCCTCTCTGACTATGCTAGACACATGAAAATTTTCAAGAGTTCCTCTAGGGCTGTCAGAGTCCTGGATATTGGCATCAAGTGCTGTCGTGGCTGCACTCACTCCAGACTCTCTACTCTCCTGAGCATTCTCCACTGTTGGGCAGACAGTACACGACAGGGCAGCGACGATCCAACGAGACCGGAGGCCAACTCTGGAATTTGCAAACCGCATGAAGGGACCCGTAGGCCTTGTTTGAAAAAAAAGATCCTGCAGGCAGGAACTGTGGAAACTTCAAGAGCTCGTCCCATTGGCCATTTCTGACACCTCTTGAAGCGCCGGACCAAATGCAGTTTTCCACAGTTAGTGCAGTGAAACGTAGAGAGTGAATCTGACAGCTCTTGAATAGAAATCCAGGACGCGGCATCAAGAGTTAGTGCAGCGGTGACGAACTCTTGATTTTTCAAGATTCAAGAGTAGTGCAGCGAGGCCCATTTTCTCCTCGCCACACAGCATGTCAAAATCCGAGATGCAAAAAAAATCAGGAGCTGTCAGGGAAAGGGTTTCGACGCCTCCTCTCGAGAGCTCGTTTCCCAGCCTGCAACTTGGACATTTTCAACAGTCCTCAGATGAATGTCGGAAAAGAGAATGCACCAACGTTTGTCCTATGGTCACCCCAGTTTGTCTCTTTTGTGCATACGACTCGTGAGTTCTTCACTTCGACATGCTGTGCGGCGAAAGGGGGGGTTTCTGTGGAAAGAGGGAATGTCGAAAATTTCCTCACATATGTCGAATTTCGTGATGTTTCGAGGCCACACCAATGTCGAAACAGCAAACTTTTTGACAGGTGTCAGACTCTTTTCTACATTCAGCCTTTCGACAAATTCCCGCATTCGCCACACAGCCAATGTCGAACACAAGGGATGTCGAGGCACTGCGCCCCTTGCCCCTCGTTCGACATTTCTGTGTGGCGGAGGGGGGGAATTTGTCAAAGCCTCGGTCCCCGAGGTTCCAATGTCGGGAGAGCAGTGGGCCTCAAGGAACTGCTCTCAAGATGTTGAATATGCGACTGAATTTGGCCTGCAACATGGAAAGATACACGGACAAAGGTTTTTTTGTTCTTTTTTATTTTTATTTTCTAATTTTTTGCTCACCTCCAAGGCCGCTGCGTTTTTCGACATTGCTGTTGAAACGCAAGGAAGAGAAGGCGAAGGCGTGTCAGTACCCCGACCCTGACAAATGTGGAAACTCGCGCTTCTTTCACCACCTCCATTCCGATATGTTGAAACTCGGGCCACTGCAGGCTGGCGGTTTCCACCCATGGACCATGGTCCCATATAGAAAGGCTCTCCTGTGACAAATGTCGAACCCGTTTCTACATTTTTCCTTCGCCAGTCTATGTGGCGAAGAGAAAATGTGGAAACTGGTGCTTTCTACATTGGTATGGCGAGGCCCTAAGAGATTGGAGGGGATTCTCTGAAGTGGTCATCAGGGAGGAGGTAGACATAACGTAGGATTCTCAAAGAAAGGGGGGGTTACCTGACCCTCCCAGCGAGAGCTGTCTGATAGGAAACGGATAAGCTAGGCCTGGGTGGGTAATCCCACAGAAGTTCAGAGTAGAAAAGACTGCGGCCCTCGCTCCACTACTGTCCACTGTACAAAAATGGATACTCCGGCATCGCTCCCTAAGGGCCTCGCCACACCATTGCCGAAAACGGCATTTTCAACTTTTTCTCCTCCCCACACAGCATGTAGAAATCCGATATGTGAAGAAAAATCAGGATCTGTCAGGGAAAAGGGTTCCACACCTCTCGAGCAAGGCTCGTTTCTCAGCCTGCAACTAGGACATTTTCAACAGTCTTCCCATGGGATGTCGCGTTCTTGCCCCAGTTGGCCGAATGTCGAAGAGGAGAACGGCTATGTATCACCCGCGGTCATAACCGCGGGCCCGATTACCGCATGTGGTCGGGATCAGCTGCGGGGGCCGAGTGAGGCCGTAAAACCCCGACATTTTTAATTCCTAGAATAATAAGTAGAAAAAATAAATAAAAATATGGGGTTGTAGGTTTTGAAAAAACCTACCTCCCTATAGTTTTTTGTTTTTTTTTTACATAGAAAATGAAAAAATAAAGTATTAAAATCAAAAGAAACATAATAAAAAAAGGGTGAACTTTTTTTTTTTCATTTTTTTGGGATTGCTGGTGGGATAATCATGGTGCACATGATTCTTTGATTCTTTTTTGTTCCCTACATACTCAAATATAAAACGAACAAAAAAAAAAAAGACAGAATGGAAAAAAAAACAAAGCCAT